GTGCAGGAGCACTGCTGTTGGTGTGGAAGCTCTGTGGAAAAGGATTTAAAACATCACCTCAGCAATATGATAGCTCATCACTTGCTCCCCTGATATGGAAAAGATGTGAGGGCAGGGGACACCAAGAGGGCCAAGTGGATCCTTGACCATGAGGAAGAAAACTCTCAGGTCTGTTTGCCCTTTCTCTAGAGGGCAGGGATGCGCCCTCAGCCTGTTCACTCATGCTGGTGAGCAGGCAGAGCTGAGTCTTCAGTATGGCTACTCTTGCCCTTCGGGTAGAGTTGTACCCTTGGTCTTGCCGCTTTTGCCCCATGGGGGAGCCCCAGAGGGTGGAGCTGCACCCTTTGCCTGGCTGCCAGCTGCTCCTACTCCTGGGGAACTGGGGCACCGAACTTGGGCAAAACGTGGCCAGGGAGCAGGCACAGCCAGGAAGTAATTGTGACGGCCCCAACGCGTTGCACTCTGAAGCACTTCTCTTGCTGGCGGCTGTGCCCTGTGAGTGGTCACTGCACAGCACGCCCATGGTCAGCCTGACCATCATCATCCAGTGGCTGCAGCCGTCAGCAGCAATAGGAACCTAAGAAGTCTACAAATTTTAGAAAATATGCTAGAGGACACTGGTGTAAAGCAGTTGGATGAAGTTGTGAAGCATTCCAACTGCCACTCAGAAAATCTTGGGATGCAAGCCTGTGAACTCACCGTTCCTGCTGTGAGGACCTAGCTGCTGCTTTTTCCCACAGTAATACCCTGTGGGGGAATCTACCTATTGGAGAAAGCCTTGGACCACAAAGGGGTGACTATTCTGAGTGATGCCCTGAAACAGCCCAAGTGTAACCTGTATGCACTCCTGCTGCAAATACCTGTGATGGGGGAAACCCTAGTGTTTCTAATCATGGAGGAAGAGTGAAATCCCTACTTGACAGTCCTAAGCAGTGTTTAAGAGAAACAGAAAACATGTGTGAAAATTCCATCCCATGAAACCAGGGTGTATTCTGACTCGAAACCATGAACAATGGAAAGGGAGTGGGCCCTTACTTTTGCCCAATTCCATGTAAGAATTATAGATCAATGATATTCTAATGAGATATGATTTCTCTGGCACCCAGTGAGATGTGTTGTGTAAAATGGATGGGGTTTTTAATTTACTAATAGAGGACATGAAGTGTGGGGTGGGGAGAGGTAAGGTGAGAGTGGGGATGGGGGAGGGGGTGTGAATATGATGAAAATACATTGTATGAAACACTTGAATTAAAACAATTTTTAAAAAGAAACAAAAACTCATCATTTGTTGTCTGTAAGAAACTCATCTTACCTTCAAGGATAGGCACCACCTTAGGGCAAAAGAATAGAAAAAAAAATATTCCAAGCAAATGGCAATAAGAAACACACAGACATTGCCATCGTACTAGCTGACAAAATAGACTTCAAATTAAAATTAATCAGAAGAGATAAAGAAGATTTCTTTATTCTGATCAAAGAAATTATCAACCAATAAGACATTACAGTCATGAACATATATGCATCAAACTCTGGTGCACACAATTCCATAAAAATAGTACTACTTGACATTGTAAGATATAGATGAACTCCAACTCAGTAATAGTAGGTGACTTCAGTACCCCACTCTTTCCAATAGACAGGTCAACTGGACAAAGAATAGACAGAGAAACATCTTATTTAAAGGGTGTCATACATAAAAGGGACCTAATAGACATCTACAGAACATTCCACCCAAACACAAAAGAATACATATTCTACTCAGCAGACCATGGAAGTTTCTCTAAAATAGACCACATACAGGACACAAAACAAACCCCAACAAATACAAAAAATTTGAAGTAATTCCATGTATTCTATTGGACCACAGCACAATCTAGCTTAAAATCAATTGCAAAAGAAGTTCTAGTAACTACACAAACTCATGGAAATTAAATAACATACTCCTGAATGATGAATGAGTCAAAGAAGAAATCAAGAAAGAAAGAAAATACTCCCGGAACTAAATGAAAATGATAATACAACACAACAAAACCTCTGAGACACATTAAAAGCAGTCCTAAGAGGGACGTTTATGGCTCCAAGTGCCTACATTAAAAACTCAGGAAGAACACAAGTAAATGACTTGCGGTATAATGCAAGAATCTTGAAATGCAAGAAGCAACCAAATCCAAAATCAGCAAATGAGAAGAAATAATAAAAAAAAAATCAGACTGGAAATCAATGAAATAGAAAAAAAGAAAATAATGCAAAGAATCATCTAAGAGCTGGTTCTTTTAAAAGATAAACAAGATAGATCCTTAGCCTAGCTAACCAAAAGAATGAAAGAGGAAATCCAAATCAACAAAATCAGAGATGAAAGGGGAATTATCAGAACAGACACCAAAAGGATCCAGGAATACTTTAGAAACCTGTACTCTGTTAAATTAGAAAAATGTGAAAGAAATGGATGAATTTCCAAATTCAATGGAGCCACCAAAGTTAAACCAATAAAAGATCAAGAGTCCCATAACAAATAAGGAAATTGAAACAGTAATACAAAGCCTTCCAGCTAAAAAAAAAAAAAAAGCACAGGTCCAGATGGATTCAACAGCAGAATTTTACCAGTCCTTCAAAGAAGACCTACAATCAATACTGGCTAAATTATTCAAAGAGATAGAAACAGAGGGGGAACTCCAAACTCCTTCTATGAAGCCAGTATTACCCTAATACCAAAACCAGATAAAGACACAAAAAAAGAAGAAAACTATAGGCTCATATCCCTAATCAACAGAGATACAAAAATTTTCCATAAAATAATTGAAAATCTTATACAAACACACACCAAAACAATCATTCACCATGATCAAGTCAGCTTTATACTAGAGATGCAGGGATGGCTCTATATACATAAGTCAATAACTGTAATAAATGAACTTAAATACAAAAATCACAGAATCATCTCAATAGACACAGAATCCAAATGCAGTCATGATAAAAATCCTAGCGGGAACTGGACTGGAGGGGACATACCAGAACTTAATTAAGGCTATATAGAAAAAACCCACAGCCAACATCATTTTAAATGGAGAAAAACTTGAAGCATTCCATTAAAATCAGGAACCAGACAAAGCTGTTCACTGTCCCGACTCCTTTTCAGTATAGTGCTCGACACTACCGGTTACTGCTTTATTTCACCAGTTGCTAAAAACTACTCTCAGATGGTTGATATCCACAACATAAGCAAAGATTGGGGACCCAGAAGTAGGCATAGCAACAGGTCATGACAAAGAATAGAACTGGTGATGGGGATACATGACACGAGAACCTGATTTTTAGATCTTCACAGAAAGTCTCAAGATGACCCAATGATCTAATGAAAGAAATCGGAAGGGCAGAGTCCTCTTTTTAAATTTTTCCCTTTTCCCTATTACAGGTCTGTGTAGGCTTGTCCTCATATACCTTTTACTTTCTGGTGTATTTACATCGTTCTAAAAGATTATGAGTATTATATTTTAAAGAAAATTGATCCAATATGAATGAAGAAGGGTAGATAAGGGTAAATTGTTGCTCACTGATTAAACTGAAGCTTTGCAGGAAAGTAAATCACCATGAATGACCTGGGAAGACGATTTACTAACCCTCTTTTTTTTGGTCTTTTTTGAGACAGGGTCTCCCTGAAGCCCCAGCTCTCCTGGAACTCACTATGTAGACCAGGCTGGCCTTGAACTCACAGAGATCTGCTTGCCTCTGTCTCCCGAGTGTTGGAATTAAAGGCATGTGCCACCACACCCTGCTTGATTTACTAACACTCTTTATGCTAACACAGCACTGTTTATTATGTGTTCTGGTTTATATGTATAGTTTACACATGCTATCGCAAAGCTGGCAAGGAACTGCTGAAGCTACCATCTAGTACTCCTGTAACGGTTGGTATGTTCTTTCAGATATGTGTAGGGGTGTGTGTGTGTGTGTGTGTGTGTGTGTGTGTGTGTGTGTATGTGTGACATACATGCATACATATATACATGATTACAGTGTGAGGGTGCACATGCACATGCAAGTGTTTATAAGCATCTGTACACCTGCATGTGGAAGGCAGAGGTTGACGTTGGGAGTCTTTCTTGATTATTCTCCATCTTATATATTGAGGTAGGCTGTCTCATTGAACTGGAACTCACTGTTTCTGCTAGTCATGCTAGCCAGCTTGCTTTGGGAATTCTGTTTCTGCTTTTTGCACGGTGGTTACGGGGGGGCACCAGTCTACTTGAGTTTTACTGGGTACTGGGGATCTGAACTCAGGTCCTCACACTTGCATGGCAAGCATTTTATCTGCTCAGCCACCTCCCTTGCCCCTTTGGTTAGTCTTAATTGACAACTTGATGGTATTTAGAATCAACTTCAAGGTATGTCTGTGTGGGCATTTCCACAGAAGCTGCACTGAGGTTGGAAGACCTGCCCTCAAAGTAGATGGCATCTTCCAAAGGGCAGCCTGTATGTAAAGAGTTGGGAGGGAAAAATAGCGTCACCTGGTTGCATTCTCTTCCTCCTAAGCAAGTGAACCTATCACTGCTGCTTCCATCCTTGGCTGGCATCAGACTCTATTTCTTTAGCCTTCCAATGTGGTATCAATGGCAGTAGCTCTCCAGAAATCTTTCATTCTTTCAACACCAATATTGCACTGCTCAAAAGTCTAGCTTCATGGATTGAACAGCTACTATGTTTTTGCCTTTCCAGCATGGAGATGTTGATGTTGGACCACCCAGCCTCTACTACGTAAGTCTTTGTAATAAATCCCCTTTTATAAAACATGCATGTATTTTATTGGTTCTGTTCTTCAAGAGAACCCTGCCTAGTATAGCTACATTAGCTACCTGTGTTTGCTAAACAAATAAGGTTTCCATGCTTATAAAATCTCTCTTGACACGTTTTACTGCCTGCACTTCACACTGGTTCTATTAACATGGATAACAGAGTGTTTAGTCTGCTTTGTAGAGGAAAGACTTTCTTCTGACCCTACTTACCTCGATTGTCATCATCATTGTCTTCCCAGGGTTCTTCATTTGCTAGCAGTGGGTTCTGTGATTCATTCATAGACCTCATTGGGAAGGAGTGGCCATCCCCAGGGCTGGTGGGGGAAGAAAAACAGTGAACATTTGCAGCTGACATAACTTTCTTTTTCTAAATTAAAAAAAAAATTACACTTTTCTAAGCCAGGCAATAGTGGTGCTCACCTTTAATCCCAGCACTTGGGAAGCAGAGACAGGTGGATCTCTGTGAGTTCAAGGCCAGCCTGGTCTACATAGTGAGTTCCAGGCCAGCTGGGGCTCCAGGGAGACCCTGTCTCAAAAATACAAAAAATTTTACACTTTTCTTTATTGTGTGTTGTGGTGGTGGTGGTGTGTATGAGTGCACACATCAAAGCCAGAGTATAACTTCTGGAAGTTGGTTCTCTCCTTCCACCATGTGGATCCTCTGGTTTCAACTCAGGTCATCAACACCTTTACCTGATGAGCCATCTTGCCAGTCCAGGGAGAGCCTCATTCTGTAGTCTAGGGTGGCCTGGTACTTGCAACTTCCTGCTCAGCCTCTTTTTGATTTTCATATCACCATGTTCATCTAATAAAAACTTCTGTGAGAAGGTTTTCTTAGGATGGGATAGAATATGTATTTGGGGCTGTTTTGTTTTGGGGATTCTGCAGTCAAATGCTCTACTACTGAGCTATACCCTCTCAGTCTTGGGGATTCTTAGGAATGTTTAATCTTTTGTCTAAAGTCATGATAAAATACTCTATCAATAGCATTATCTTGTGCATGCTGAATTGATCTTAATCGCCTCATTTTGTTTGTCAGCATCAGTGTTGACCATTTTTATTTGCAAGAAATTTTAACTTGCTTTCCACAGTGCCCAGTATAGCAATATGCACACACAGGAAGTTTCATAAATACCATTTAATTATGATGATCTCAATTTATATCTCATTATCTTTCTGTTCAAATTATAAGGTCTCAAGAGAAACAAGAAGACTGAAAGTCACTGAACATAATGGAGAAAAGCTGCAGTGAATGGGTGACAGAATGCTCCAGTGCCCTGTTACTCATTTGACTTCTATTATAGAATGGTTATTAGGAGCCACAGGGAAGAGCCAGGATAAGGTATCTCTGCAGTGCAGATTTTGGGGACAATTATCCACATGTGGGTCTACTTTGTGGATATCTATGATAAGCTATGGTCATCTCTCTGATTAATTTCTGGCCATTCACAGATTGGAGGCATTGGAAGGAATCATGGTGGCCCTGGCCAGACATGGTTACAATTCGAATAGATGAGTCTATATAGCTGAATGTATTCTAACCCTGAATGACTTTTGGATTATTTGTTTGATACAACATGTACCTTTTCTTCTGTTCATGAATGCTATTAATTAAAAGTTTACACATTTTATTTATAGCACAATATAGAAAATGTCAGTATACTCATTATAAGTGAATTAGCTTTGAATTTTTAAAAAAATATATTTTATTATTTTTATGTGTGTATTGCCTGCATGCAGTTAAGTGCACCAGTGTCATGCAATGCTTGCGGAGGACAGAAGAGGCTGTCAGATTCCCTGGAACTGGAGTTAGGAACAGTTGTTAGCTGCCATGTGGGTGCTGGG